CATCCACCCGTATGCATAAACACCAATCCCAGATGAGGAGATGAGACCACCTATCCCAGGTTGTCATGCACACACTGGACACAGGACACAAATTTGCATTGATGAAAACTCGAATTGTTGGCGCCTGTCCAACTACGGAGGGCCAAGAATTGCTAGATGCAATGCACTCAAGGGAGGCACGTATTAACAGGAATATCGATTTAGATTCCAATTACAGATTTCTCAAGGTCAGGCGGAAGCATAAACAGCCACTGTTGATCGCATAGTTGAATGCAGGCGACGCCTCTTGGCTTACACTCTAGCAAGTCATATAAACTTTTGTAAGACACCGTTTTAAGTTAACTGTTTTCTTGCATCTCTCCTATGTCCGAGAACGAAATGGGGAACCAGACTCGAAAATTCACAAAATAGGCATTACTTTTTCCCAAGAAATTTCATTTTTTAAATAAGTATATCTCTTGTGGTGCCGATAATTCAATGCATACAGTATGACGACCGCTGCAAGCAACATTCCACAATTTAAAAAATACCGGTAAGCAATCGCAAACCAACGTTGCGTAGGGTTGCAATACTGTTCATCATGCAGTCAAAATTTCAATTATTTTCAGTCACGCTAGGATGCCGACTCTGTGATGAGCTTCTTTCTGACTGCTGCGAAAAAGTTGATTCTGTAAGAAATGGCTTCTTAAATGGTATGCATTTTTATCATTGATTTTGACTGCCTTTAAAAATTCAAATATATTTTATGGAAAGCATGGACGTAAAATTCCTCTCTTGTACTTATTTGATAACATAATGGGGGTATGACAGAAAGAGGTAATCGCGGACAAGACGGTCAGTGGGGACAATGGAGTCGAACCAAAGAGGAGACAGTAGATGCCCTAAGAACATCACCGAAATGACGGAGTTGCGATCAAGCAGACTGCAGAGTTCGCTGACCAGCTGGCGAATACATAAGAACCTGCGACGATCATCACCACAGACCTCGAAGACCACCGTCAGGGTTGCAAAAAGGATAAGAGTTGGTGACATTTGGAGATGAAGCTTGACTCTGCAGAGGATAATGTAAACATCTTACGAACCCGATTTACAATCTGCCGAATGATGTTTGCATGTTCCATTTTGATGCAAAGTTTTCCCTTTGGGTTGCGATAAAAAATATTTACATCGATTGGAGCAACGGAATATCTCATTGAGGCAAAGGTCCGCATTCCAGGTAGGTGTACAAATTGAGAAGAATAAGAAGAAGAAAAAGCTATGTCGATCACCAGAATCACAGTTTTGGTAGTCTGAGCGTCCGAATTCCTACAGGAGTCCATCTTCAGTGATAGGAAACATCAAGAAATGGGGGCTAGTTATGACATGTGTACAAAACTCAGTTAACCGATGTATCGAGCAGGTGCCCGCATATGTTGCCCGGCGCAGCTATCTCCAGACTCATGGCACTGGTGGTTAATTGGTCCCCTCCCCCGCCTCCCTCCTTCCCTATGACGTTTAACTGACCCTCTTCCTATAACTGTTGCTTGTTTTCGTTGACGATTTTATTTCTGTAAATATTCCCACCCAACACACCGACCTCGCCTAATTGCGCAGACTGGCATAGTCCGCAGTGACCAATCGACGCCCACACCAGACAATTATTGATTTTCTACACATTCAGACTTTTGTTTTGTACAAACGCCATAACTAGCCCCCCATTTCTTGATGTGTCCTATCTCTGAAGATGGACTTCTGTAGGAGTTCGAAAGCTCAGACTAATAAAACTTTGATTCCGGCGATCGACACAGGAATATCTCCTACCTAATTCCACAATATTTATGTAAAGACGCATATTAGGCAGATGTCGACCTTTTAGGGTCGTGACGTATTTCAAGTGACAGTCGAGTTGCAAGCACATGAGTTTGGCTATTTTGTCAAGGAAGGCATTTAGTGGATGCTGTCCCATGCATCAATGGATCCTGCATTTTCCTTGTTGATCGCTTAGGATATCTAACTTGAGCAGTCAGTTAAACGCATCAGCGTCGGTAGCTTGCACAGGTTGCAGCAACTCGGACGGGCAATTTGACCCTTACCGTTTTCAGCTCACGTCCCCCAATCAGAACCTCGAAGCTAAATGAATTAGAAGGCCGGCCGTGGTGACGCCTTTTCTAAGCCTCAGCAGGCATCGGAATTCTTCAGATGATAGACGAATTTCACACATATAGTATTCGCTAAAAACCGTGCAAATTTCATAGCTTTGTGAAAGTTTGATCATTACTCGCACACAGGTGCGAATGCATTTAGGAAGACATAGAAATAAAAAATTTAAAAAGTTTAAAAAATTGTAAGAAGTATTAGGCATTTTTTAAGAAAAATCAAATTTTCCCGATAATCCCCAAGTTCCGAAGACGCAAAAATTGCTTTAATTTAGAACAATAAATTTAGAAAATGTAATAATGTGAAAAGTTTACGTAACCACTTTCTTCACATAAAAGAAGTCTTCTTAAGTCAAAATTTTTTTGTACAGATAGCCATTAGTGGATACCTATTTATTGAAAATCGTCCAATAAAATCTGGCATGATTTTCTTCGTTTTCAGTGTCTTCATTGATAAGTTGATAAATTTCGCTTCTTTTCGAGGTTTACATCAAAACATTTAAAATAGGATATATATATATATATATATATATATACATAAAAAGCATTTACCGAAAGAAAGTGTTTTTGGATATTAGTTCTTATGAAAATGACCATGTGGATCATATTTAGACATGCCGCAAAACAGCAAACCGCATTGTCGAGCATACGTCCGCTAGATAACTGGGATATTTTTATTCTCAAGATTAATAAAATACTTTCTATAATAGGTAACCTCTTTCAAAAGTGTTTTAATTAGATATTCAGCTGACGAATTTCTGTGTATATTAAGTCTTTCCAAAGTAATGTCACAATTACTTTGAAGACTTTTGACAATTTCCTTAAGCTACCTGAATATAAGTGACTTAATTTGACTGTAAATGAAAGAACTCACTTTGCCATTTATAATGGAATATTTTCCGCCATAGGTCATTACTTCCATGATCTGTTATAAGCTCCCGGAAGCAAAAAAAAGAATGGCCATAAATATGGCTATTTTTTGAACTAATTATTATTATTCTGTCTTATCCGTTTCTAAAATACGCATAAGCAGGTCTTATAGATTACAAAAAAAGTATATCTCTATATGACTTACATGTGATAAGGCCTGTTTTACATTAACTTAGCGGTAAAATATGCAGTCACTTTGATAATTCGCCAAGGTGAACGGTGCGGTTTAGATAAAATGGGATGAAACTTTTTGTTATTGCATTTCTTGCGAAAAAAGTTCACACATTAGCTTAAAAATAACTTTTACAAAACAAGATGTTACATTTTTCTGAAAATAAATGCAATTCTTTCAACCTGGCTCCAATTGCGTCTGAACAATTTCGCTAAAATTGCTACCCATTTCTCTTAATAAACCTAACTTAAAGGGTAATTGCCCTAACGAAATGGCTTTCGCAGAATTAAATCCACTCTGTGAATCACAATAATATGACGTAATATATGCTAAAGTACCTAGTCAATTTTTTTCATGAAAGTTGCACCGTCTTTAGCGAATACTGGGTGATATCTTTTGTTCCGTCAAGCCGCCACCGCTCACAGGACCACAGCGAATTTCGTTACAGTTTTTAATATAAGCCTTTGTTTTAGCTGTTGTGGAAGATACTTCACTCTTTTCAGGCTCCGTCGTAGTTACAAGCTCTTCTGATGACTCAGTAATCCATATAGTCCTCAAAAATTTGGTTTATGAGGCTCTGATAATACAACGTTTCTTTTATTTACATGAAGTCATTTTTAAAATCGTCTTCTGTATTGCCATTTGCAGCGCCTCAGTTTCATGTTTGAACTAATCCCAATGGATTCCGGTTGCGTCATTTAGCTTTTCATAATAGGGGTAACAGCCAATTCACTTCCGCCACGCTTAACAATTATCATTAAGTTGGTTTGGCAGATTTGCTTAATTTGAGTTGACCCAAGTGT